GGATTTTTGCCGCTTCAAACTGTGCTCTTCGCAAAGACTCTGGTCTCCGACTCGACATGCCCGATCTGTGACGCGGAGTCGGAGACATTTCCCCACTTTTTCTTTGACTGCAGGGTTGCTAGGGGTTTATGGCAGCTGGCTGGACAGGAGCATCTTCGGTCGGTATTGGGCGAGCTTTCCCCGGAGGAGGAGTGGAAGCATCTGTTCTTTGAATTAAACCTATCCAAAGCTGGGATTGCGGATGTTGTCTTCATCCTATGGCGAATCTGGAAAGCTAGATGCTGGTCGTTGAATGCATACATCCAATATTTACCACCTGCTCTTTATCGCCAGCTGCAACATCAGGTTAATGAATGGAGAGAAGCAGCAGACACAAGACAACCTCCTACCCGTAATGGTCCAAGGGACAATTCCTCTTCGATGACAGGGAGACCTGGCGAGGGGGACTCAACAGGCGCATCCCATCTCCCGGAGCTCATCCACGTTTGGTGCGATGGAGCGGCCAAAAGAGACCAGGGTGGCAGCATTGGTTTTGTAGGATTCCAAAGTACAGGTACGGTTCTCTTTGCTTTTGGCAAGGCGTACGCCGGCATTTTTGATCCATTTATCATGGAGTGTTTAGCTCTTAGAGATGCTTTACAATGGTGCTTATCACATGGTTTTGCTGCTGTCAAATTGCATGGGGATTCTCAACAATTGATGCAACGGATGGTGCGGCGGGATTTCACACATGATCGGTGCGGAGCGATTCTCGAAGACGCGAGGGAGTTGGCTTCCCAATTCAACTATATTTCGTTTTGTTTTGTCTCTCGTCGACTTAATAGGGCCGCCCATCTTGTGGCACAAAAAGCCCTTTCATCGGGAGCTCGACGATTAGTCGACTCCCGCGCTCTTCTTTCTGCTATGTATATCTAAATTGTTACCGCTAACTTTGACAAAAAAAAAACTAACCGTTAGCAAAGAGCTCCTCCAAGCAAGCCGTGCCGACTCCGCTGGAGTACAGGTTTATCCTATGAGGCATGCAGGCCTCATACTCATCGTCAAGCCCATCGTATTTGCCCAACTCGGACTCGAAGCTGCGCAAACTCCCTTTCTTCCAGACAGTGGGCTCCTCCACGAACTCAACGGACCAATTCCCCGGAGCGGGCTTCACGAAGAAGAACCGCTCGAACCAGTCCTTCTCCAACTTCGGGGACCCATACACGTAACCATCGGGCCGCTTGTCTCGCCGCCTAATGGAAAGACAATCGCTCGTCTCCGTGGGCCCCATTATCTTGTAGATTTTCCGAAAAAGCCCATAAGTAGGTTGAATCTTCAGCCTCATACAAACGAGGAGAAGACAGGAGGCGTGCATTATTACAGATGGGGATAAGCGCGCGACAGAGTAGCCCAGACGCCGGTAAAGGGCGCACAACAAAGGGTCGATGGGAAACTTGAAACCCATTCTCCAATATTCCGAGTACACACCAAACCAACCCGGGGGGGGGGGGTGGGGGGCAATTCCCAATTCTGCTTCGCGCGGATGGGACTGCGTACTGCCAGTTGGGGGGCAAACCCAACCCGCGTACCAAGTCAGTTACCTCCCGTCGCCGTTCACAGACACGTGGTCTGGCCCGCGTACCAGATTATCACATGGGATTTGCCCCGCGTCGAACATTTCCTCCCAATCCAGGATTGTGTACGCGGCCCCCACCCCACGCATGCCGAGGCGGATCATTGCCTCCGTGACACGAGACACGCAGAGCGGCTCTGATGAAGTCTCCGATGTACCCGGCGCGCTAACAGGAGTAGCGCCGGACCTGTTTGCGCGATCGCGGCGGATTATTAAAACTCCCCGCGCACGCGAACTTGCCTCACCACTAGCGCGGTTCGTCTCACCCGCATTGGAGAAGCCATACGTCAGATCCTGGCCAGAATCGACGTCGTACAACAGCGTCGCCGGAGCACCGCCCTCATCTGCTGCGCCGTCGCGATTGTTGTCGGACTCGGCCAGAGCCAACGATGGATCGGAAGATACAGGAGAGAAATGAGAAAGATTACCTTCTTCGTCTGGTACGACCTCGATCTCACGGTTCGCATCGCTGCTGGCCATTGTACTTTCGAGAGAATACTACGAACAATCTCGAGAGTTAAGGTCGTCGGAGAAGGAGAGGAATCTTTTCGGCAGAGAAAAAACGATAGAAGAGAGAGCACAAGTGATGGGAAAAGTAACTCCTTTCAGTAAAAAGGGGGAGTACTTATAACCCACATAGGGGTAACCGAAGAGTCCAAAGCACATCAGGAACCAGAAACGTCAGAAATTTTGAATTTCAAAAGCCACCGCCCGAACGAGTGAATGACAGAGCGCCACGTCATCACCTATCTATCGTAGGGGCTAGTCGGTGACGTCATAGAGTACGCATACCGCCTGGGGGGCATGGTGTACCCGCGGAACTCAAAAAATATACCCAAAAACCAAAGCTACGTCGCGCAAAGCTATTGAAGGTGCAGTAGAGCGAGCGAGGAGCGCGCACAACCGGGCCTGACGCGCGAGACCAAAACAGGCGGCATTCACAGAATACCCCACGGGCATGGTGTACCCGCGGAACCCAAAAAATATACCCAAAAAACCAAAGCTACGCCGCGCAAAGCTATTGAAGGCGCAGTAGAGCGAGCGAGGAGCGCGCACAACCGGGCCTGACGCGCAAGACCAAAACAGGCGGCATTCACAAAATACCCCCTGATGGGGGGCAATTGTTGGGGATGCCCAAACCGTCGTCGTTTTTGTTAGTTCGCACTGGGAGAAAGAGCTGAGAAGAATGACGTCGTATCCTCTGAAGGAAGAGTCACATCCTAGTCCTAGTCCTAGGTATAATTATGGCCTAAAGCATGGCCTATGTATCTGACACACGTAGTGGTCTTGTCGCATTAAATATTCACTTACCACAATGTACTATAAATAGAGCATTTACTACGGTAGGTAAGGGATCGGTTTTTCGACTCTCTCACGTATACATCGACTTCTCTCTTTAAGAATCTCATTCTCTCAATCTCATTCCCTGAGACTCTTCGCCATTAACAGATTGGAGATTCACCTTGCTGATTCTTCTCTCCCCACCTTCTCGGAGTCTCACTCCTACACTCAGTTAGACTCAAATAGGTTTGATTCACGTATGTTTTTTCATATTTACTGTGAATCAAAGCTAAATTACATTGTATTCAATCCATGACAAATTCAATTCAAATTTTGGATCAATCTAACTCACACACCGATTGGTAACAAATGAATTAAGAATTCATTGCATTTCAGAATAAACAAACCATATTTGAAATACGTTCAGAATTGAATTAATCAATTAAATTAAAAGTTACCAACTACACTCTTATTAATTTCTAGGAGAAACAATATTCATTGAAAATTCATCTTCTAGAAAATGCAAGGGACAAATTATTATCGAACCAATAAGACAAAGCTAAAAAGATAAGTTCGGAGTATACAATTTGAAGATCCATCTTCTAAAGGCTTTCATTGTAATTCAATTTTTTTTCTTTTTTAGTCAAGCGAGCTTGATCTCTTCATAATGGATTTGGATTTGCCTGTAATACAGAATTTAGGAGAAAGTATATGTATTAGGTTAACATATCAACGAAAAGAGGAGGGTTAGGCGCACATAATCTGTGTATTGGTGTCAAATAATATATGTAGAAGTAATTTGGGTTAATATTTTCGTATGGCCTGAACTTTGACCAAAGTAAACATCTTGGCCAATCTTTTCGATCTATAACATTCTGGCCCGAACTATACACCAAAGTAAACAATTTGGCCAAATCAGACTTTTGACCGTTAACTTGGACGGTCAAACGCGTTGACCGTTAGTCAACGCGCCATGTCACCGCCAACTCAGCAATTAAAAAATTAAAAAAAATTAATTTCCACCTAGCCAAAAGTCTGATTTGGTCAACGCGGAGGTTCTTCACCCAAAGGGACTCCTCCTCCCGCCTCCGCTCCTGCTCCGGCCGGGAATATATGGAGAGAATCCAGCTACGATTTCCTGGAAGGAATGGATAAAGACAGGAAGAAGGAGAAGCAGCCCGAGGGCGGCGCCGACGGGAGTGGGAGCTACAGATTCGATTTCAATCCGGCTCAGAGAGGCAATACTACTGGAGTTCCGGAGGATCCGACGTCGAAGCTCATTGGGCAGTTCCTGCACAAGCAGCCGGCGTCGGGGGAGTTCTGTTTGGATATGGATTTGGAGATGGCGGAGCTTCAGAACGGGAACGACAACAACAACGACGGTCTGCATCACCTCCGGCATCTCGCTCCGGTTTCCGAGTCGCCCGTGTCGGTTCACCAGCGAGTCTCGTTCGAGTCGAGCGAGTCGATTAGGAGGAGGCAGGCGAGCAGGTTCAAGGAGTCTCTAGGGATTCAATCGAACGCCGGGAGTCCTGCTGCTGGTGGTGATGGAGGAGGAGGAGGGGAGGTTTTGAGGTGCAGTTCTAGAGAAGGTGTTGGTTTGTTTTCTAGCCAGTCGTCGTTTAAGAGGAAGTCGAATTTGTTTAAGGAGAAGACGAAGTCGAGATTGATGGATCCACCGCAGCATCAGCAGCAGCCGGAGAAATCCGGACGGATGCCCGCCGGTAAGTCCGGGCAGTTAAATGGGCTAGGTGGAAATTAATTTTTTTTTTAATTTTTTATTGCTGAGTTGGCGGTGACATGGCGTTGACTAACGGTCAACGTGTTTGACCGTCCAAGTTAACGGTCAAAAGTCTGATTTGGCCAAATTGTTTACTTTGGTGTATAGTTCGGGCCAGAATGTTATAGATCGAAAAAATTGGCCAGGATGTTTACTTTGGTCAAAGTTCAGGCCATACGAAAATATTAACCCAAGTAATTTAGTTAATAAATAAGAATAAAATATCATTCTATTATAATTAATAAAATAATTCCATTTGTAAATTCCACCTCAATTCTAAGGAATTGTTATAGTTAGTTCTAATTTTATAAAATTCAAAACTTAGAATACACCACTCTTAAAGACCAACTTTGCATCGACCACAAGACCAACTTTGCATCGACCACATGATCTCATCGTTCCTTTCTAGACTATAAACGCAAAGACAAATCGAGCTTGAGAACGAGTGGGAAAAGCACTAGCAAAAGCAACCATGTCCTCTTCACTTCCATCAAACACATTAGAAGAAAAAAAAAACTAGCCTTTTTACTTTCTGTACGATAAGAGCTTTATCTTTATATATCAACAGTATCAATTTGTTCCTGAACATTCATTTTTCTGCATTGAAAGACGTGTTCAATACATATGCATCCTTAGTTATTCATTCATTCTACACTGTTGACAATCATAATCACCATCTTAACTAGATTACGAGTAGCTAGTGCTTCGACGATGCAGTCTTTTGATGGACTTACTTAAAGCCCTCGATAATGGTGACAGCAGGACTATCACCACCTCTGCTGGTGTTAAGCTGCTCATATTGCTGCAGTCTCTGGCTGGATTTCCCTACTGATTTCAGGCAAAGACAACCAGTGACCAACATGATTCCACTAAGTATCCAGCTGAACTGCAAGTTTGCAAGAGCTCTCGCCCTATGATCTGCGTAAGAAGATTCACAGGTGACTGCTCCATGAATTACAGAACCGCTGTTCCCACCTGACTGCATCATATTCATAGAGCATCCCTGGGGAACAAACTGAGGCAGCCACAGCATACAACCCATGTTCATGAACCAACATCCCTGGAATACTACTGAAACCGAAAGAACAAGGGCTGCTGGGAAGCTGGTTGGGAAAAAAGTGGAAGCTAAGGCTGATAGAAGAGAGACGAATATTATAAGCTGAAGGAGCCAGTGGTAATGGCCCTCTAGACCTACATGGTCAGCTGAGTGGAAATGAAGGAGGAAAAGCTCTTGGCTAAAGAGGGAAGTAGCAAGTATCCCAGTCACACTAGACAGGATGTGAGACGATTCAGTTATCTCTGTGCAAAGGGTGAAACCTGCAAAGATGGCAAGATGAAGGAACATGGTTGCATGTTCCAAGTTGACAAGCTCGAAGGAGAAGCGGAAAAGAGGGAAGTTGAAAATTTGGTTCAAAACTGAGAATATGGAGAAGAACAGAATGAGGATAGGCTCCAAGTGTTTGAGCCTGGAAAAAAGACAATTAAAAGGGTGCCAAAACTTGACCATGAAGCTTGTTGAGGTTTTGTTGTTGCAGTAGGACCTGGTAGTGTTGATGATGTGCCATAAGCCAAGAAGAGTTAAAGCCAAACCAGGCACGATATGAGCTATAAAATTCCCCATGGAAGCTTCAGTTGTAGCATATCAGGAATCAATTACCTATAAATATACCAGCAAGTGAGTGAATGAAAAGGACAGATTTAGTGCAAAATGCATGTGTTCTCCACCAACCCATACTGTAATAAAGGGACATTGTGTGCGACAATGACAAATCAGAAAGCATTTACCATTGTGAGTAAGAACCAGAAAGTATGTACCATTTCTAAGGATATATTTACCAAGAAATCCATTCCAATAGGTCAATGATTCATGGAAAAAAAGTGAGATAGCGTACCCTATCTGCTAAAGCTTTTATGCACAAAGCAGAAAAAGCAGCAATGATCCCCTCTCAAATTTGGGAAAGAGTTCATTGCCCCTTATCAATGCAATATGAGTATGCAGGTTAATGCTTTGAAATAAAAACGTGCACGGCTCTTCATGTGGCTTTGAGGCCAAGTAAAACCCTCAAGTGTATAAGTGGTTAATGATGTGTCTGGCTTTGTCCAATTATATGCTGCCTGCAGAAATCTCAATTGAACAATCATGCAATTACCACCAAGAGGTTAAGATTCCCGGTATATACCAATTACCAAAGAGTTGTGGCTTATAGAGAAAAGATGGATTTTGGTGTTTGAGTCAAGATCCACTCCTGGATGCTAAAGGTAATGAAACAGAGAAAAAGGAGAAAGAACTCTGAACACATCAAATTACGAATTTGTGGAACTAAAAGCATTATAAGGGTTCCTTTCTCAAGTTTCTCACGCATCTCATGCATTATTGAGCCAAATATGAAATTGTGCATACGGTAGAATAGCATTTCGGCGCTTTTCATCATATCAAATACCTTGTAGAAGACTGAGCGCTATCCAGCATGTGCAAAGCTATGTGGACTGCTATGCAAGACGGCATCCTAGGAACTTTGAGGAATACAAGACTATCAACAGAAACCTTCTGTTCTGTTGATTCCCCCTGCTACTATCTGCGTTTCCCCCGGCTTGGAGTACTGAGAACTAGTTAAAAACAAGTGTGATACAGTGTATCGTTTTCCGGTCATGAAACTGATCTTGAAGTCTTACTGCTCAAGAACTCATCAACATTCCCAATCCCTTCAATCAAAGAAAAGTACGTGCTATCATCAGGTGCAATGCCTCTGCTAACCATTTCTCTAAGGAGCTCTTCAGCAAGATCCCCTTCTTGGTTTTTGCACAAACCTTGAATCAGAGCATTATAAGTGAGGCGTGTAGGGTTGAACCCTATACTCAACATCTCATCCCGAACGCTAAATGCATCCTTAATATCACCTCTCTTACTATAACCACTAATTAGAGTGTTGTAACTTATGTGGTCAGGTTTAATACCTCTACTCTTCATCTCGTCGATAAGAGCACGAGCCTCTTCAACTTTACCCTCCCTGCAACGGCCCTGCATAAGGGTATTGTATGTCACTTCGTCAGGCAAACAATTCATTCTGTCCATCTCTTTCAACAATGCAAATCCACGTTCCATATTCCCATTTGCACAGTGACCATCAATCAGTGCATTGAACATTATACGGTCAGGCAGAATGCCCTTCTTCACAATCTCTTCAAACAACTTGTCAGCCTCCTCCATCCTTTTCCGCTTACTCAGAACGTAAATGAGAGACGTATAAGTTACTCGTGTTGGCTGAATTCCTGCGCTCAGCATTTCATCATGCAGGTTGAATGCCTTTTTAACATTCATGCATCTTGAATACCCGTTGATTAAGATGTTATAGGTTATAGAATCAGGAACAATACCCCTAGCTCTCATGTCCTTTACCATCTTATCAGCTTCATCCATTTGGGCTTCAATAAGTAGAGCATGAATGAGCAGATTGTAAGTCGACACAGTTGGCAAAATACCTTTCCCAATCATCTCATCCTTGTAGCGTAAAGCCACCTCCAAATTGCCTTTATTGCAATACCCATCAATCAAGATATTGTATGTCACGGCATTTGGAAGCAACCCAGTTTCTTTCATTTTCTCAAGCAATTGGGAAGCACCTTCAAGTTTCCCTTCCTTGCACATCCCAGTAATAAGTGAACCATAGGTGTATTGATCAGGTTCAACCCCTTTGCGTTTCATTAGATCCACAACCAAAAGAGCGGCTTCAAATCTCCCCCTTATGCAGTACCCATGAATCAATGTGTTGTACGTAACAGCGGTCGGCCTGATTCCCAAACTCTCCATGAAAGGAATGAACTCCTTTGCCTGCTTCAGTTTCCCCTCTTTGCACAACACATTAACCATAATGTTAAATGTGTACACACTGGATTTGATCTTCAACCTAAACATCTCTGCATATAAAACCCATGCCTTGTCTGTCCGATTCAACTTCAGAAACAGACTCAGCATTGCGTTACACGTCTCGACCGTGGGAATGACACCATTTTCCTTCATCTTATCAAAACACACAAAAGCATCATCACCCTTCTTCATTTCGCAACAAGCTCTGATCAATAAGTCGAAAAGTAAAGTACTTTCGTTGCGCAACTTATCCCGTGCAAGCGCCAACTCGACGAAAGCTTCACCCGCGCCATCCACTCCACTTCTAATTGTTTGTTTTAGCAATTGCAACGTGGGTTTTAGGGAGGGGGACCTAGAGACCACTGCAACAGCTAAGCATTTGGTTTTCAAATCAAGAGATTCAAACCCAATTGAAGTAACGAATCGGAGAGCAGAATCAGGAGCTTTCTGAAGAGCAAGGAGAGTGGAAGAAATAACAGAAGTTGTCAAGTCGGGAGCCAGGTGTTTGACGGAATGCCACTGTGAAGATTGAATTAAGTTGAGGATCTCACCCTCCTTCCCCGCACAAGGGGGTTCTGCTGGTGTACTTCGTGACTCGATCCCCTCTGCGGAAGAGAAACAGCGACAAGAATCCGGCGAGTTCGGAGTGGCGACAACTGTGGTGGTTTTGACGCCTTTGAGCTTCGACAATCCAGTATTGAAGATTCTAATCGGCTTCATACTGCCGAAACAGTTACAGCTTCCAGCAGTCACTAATTCAGCAGCAAAGAAAGAGAAAATGAAGCTGGGAAGAGAAGAGTTAAGAGAAAATACTAGTGGTTCCAGGTTTTTGCACCGGACGTCCGTCGATTTCTAGCTTTGCGGCTTTTGCAGTCACGGCACGGGGCCTGAGCATGGAAAGAAGAAAAGAAAACACGTTTTGGGCCCAAAGGCCCATCGAAATTCAATCACGGCCCAGAAATAACTGTTCGGATCTGATAAAGATAAAGCCTTGGCTTTTCGGCTTTTCCCCCTCTCTGCCCTTCCCTCCTTCGACATTGATCAGCTTGCTCCCAACGCGAAACCCTAATTGAAAAGTAAACGAGGCAGCCCGGCAAAGGAAGAAGTGACCAGAAGAACCCACCGGCATCGCCAATCTTCCTCCGATTGTTTAGCTCATCCACCGTCTATCTCGTTTGAAATCGGCCGCCGGCGAGGAAAAAGAAAAGTAGTGGGCAGCGCGCGATGTCGTACGACGACGTGGAGATAGAAGACATGGAGTGGAACGAGGAGCTCCAATCTTTCACGTATCCGTGCCCGTGCGGCGATCTGTTCCAGATAACGAAGGAGGACCTTCGGCTCGGTGAAGAAATCGCTCGGTGTCCGAGTTGCTCCCTCTACATCACTGTGATATACAACCCCGAAGATTTCAACGAGGACAAGTCGAAGGGGAAGAAGAAAGGCAACGCCATCCAGCAGGCGCAGCAGCCGGTCTCTGTTGCTTGAAATTGAATTTTCGCGGTGAACTTCTTGGAGCCAGGTTTTTGTATTGAAATCAACAGAGTGATTCTTTTCTCCTATTTTTGTTGGATCGGTTTGCAGGTGTATTTGTTCAACCCTAGTTGCCACAGAGAATGAAACTAGAGAGCATGTGTTCTTTCAGTGCTCATATTCAGCCTGATCAATAGCAAGTCTTAGTTTGCTCTATCAGAATTCAAAACAAAACGTCTCCCGTGCGGAAACTGAATCAATACACAGCCATTACGCAAAATGTTCGTACACCCGTCCCAGTTTGTTGGTTATGCTTGAAATTGAAACCGACCCACCCGTCCAACCCGATCCAACCCACCCATATTTATCGCTAAAACGAATGTTTTGGGTTGGGCGAGGATTTTCTTTTGTACAACCCGCCTCTTTTGGGTTGGGTTTGGATTTTTGATTATACAACTCGTAGAACCCGACCCAACCCGTGTTCCAATTATTAGTATGAGTTCGTATCCAAAAAAATATTTATGTCGTATATAGCCATACTTATGAGAAAATTAAGATATTTCGTCATGTTTTTCTCTTAAGGCCCGCCTAATCTAATACATTTTTCGGATTAAAGTTTAGACATAAATTTGATATAGCTATGATTCACATAATTATTTTTCTTGTGTACAATTTTAATAGAATAACATGTTATAGATGCGTTCATTTGTAACCTTTTTAGCTTATTTCAACAAATTTCGCGAAAAAAATTAGACATAAGTTGAAGTAAATTAGATTTTATTAAAATTCAAACAACATTTGTGAATTTTAATACCTTTCACCTCGGTTTATTCGTTCGAATTTTTAATTAGTTATAAATTATTTTTATGGTGTAGAATAATTATATATTTTGTGTTGGGTTGGGTTTTTACTTAAAAATATCGCCAACCCGACCCAACCCAATTAGAAACAAACCGTAGGGTTTAGATTTTTTTGGGTGGGTTTGGGTTTAATATTTCCCAAACCGTAGTGCATGGATTTAGTGATTAAAATGTCTAAAATCGGACCACCCGACCCATGTACACCCCTAGTGGCAACTGGCAACAGAACACACATATTGCACTAGTTATTCATACTCACAGCCAGGGACGGACCTACCTTTAAGCAAGGTGTGTTAACCGCCATACTTTGGTTCGAAATTTTTGTGAAGAATCCACATTATTTCAGTGTAAAAAGTTCGAACACGGGACCTCCGACACACTTCTAATAATTGTAACCGACACATCTTATTACATAACAAAAATTTAGTTGTCATAATTTTATTAAAATATGTATATATAGAGTTATCGGACTTTTAGATTAGGTAAAGTCAAGTAACAAGATAGTGTTGCAGACTGTATTTCCCCCGTAGATTCTTCCATAGATTTTTCTTTTAAGTTAATTTTCAACTTGCTTTCTAGTTTAGTCATTTCTTTCCACGTTGACGTCTGTCGCACACTCCAGTTATCGGCTGCGAACCGGCGACATCCTCATTCAAACTTCCATATTGACGCTTGTGGCCACCTTTCCAAATACTCATACTAGTTTTCCCATCTTAAAGTAGTGTTGACTTTACCTCTTGCAACTGCAAGCTACAGAATGACATTTTACATTTTATGAGTTTAATCGAGAACAATCTTTGGTATAAGGTGAGTGACTAGTTTATGTATAATTGTTTAATCATGTACATAAAAAGATTTGATTACAACCTAATGGACAAATGTAACTACTAAATTTGTTAGAATATGAAAACTCGTCTTGGTTCACTATAAAAAATAATGAAATTGGTGAAATTTATAAATAAAAGGTTCATGTTTATTTTAAATTATTTTAATTATTAAATATTTTAAAATTATTTTTATTAGCCGACACACCTATCCTAAAATTCCGGGTCCGCCATTGCTCACAACAGTGGTTTAGACATAGTAGTAATAGCATCAATAACAATCAAGCTTGTACCAATTACGTCATCAGTTTTAGGTCTAACAATGTTCCAAACTCTCTTAACAGAGTATTTTATTGTTACGTGTCATCAGTTTTAAGTCTACCAATGTTACAAACTTTCTTAACTGGGAGCGGATCCAGCGCCCCTTCTCTTTCCTGAAAAGTCTTTTATTTTCCTCATTAATCTTTAACGGACGATATCTCACTCGTTTTAAGTCGTTTTTTTTTCACAGTTAGATCAAATTAATTGTGCTCTTCAAAATAATATCCACTTTGATATATTTTTTGAACAAAAAAATTTGAGTCATTTTTTACTAGTCTATACCATATGGATTTGAAATAAGAGCATACCTATTGTATGAAAAGCATACCATGGTGGTATGAACAAACCAAGACTGTAGGATGGTTGAATACATGATAGTAGAAGTATATTAACTTTCATTTACGACTTTTAACATTGTGTACCACAAGATATCATCCCCGTACCAAGGTGGTATTGTGTGATATTTTTTGGTCCTTTATTTTGTTCACCCAGAAATTTGTTGATCCAATAGATCATGATGAACTCGTTCCTTTTGTGCAAAATTTTCAAAAATGAATTAAAAACGAAGAAGATACCATATGGTTACAGTTGGTACGGAGAGGCACGAAAAAAAATTCTAAAAAATATTGAAAATGGATCTCATTTTGTAGAGCACAACTAGTGATGGCAATGGGTCGGGGCGGGGCGGGTACCTCAATACCCATGCTCCCGCCCACGCTATTACGGGTCGGAGCGGGTAATACCCGCGTGGGTACGGGGCAGGGCGGGTTGAGCCACTCTTATATGCTATTTGAAAAAAATACAAGCAAATTTTTACTTTTTATGATAAAACGAAGGGGAAAAGACTTCATGAATGAATAATAATAGTGATAATATAATGGGTAATTGAGTCTATTTAGTTGAAAGATCAAGTCTGACTAGTTGAAGAAAAGCCAAAATAGGAGATATATGAATGGATGGCGTAAGAAATTGACCTAGAACGGGCCAAGAACGGGGTGAGGGGGGGGGGGGGGGGGGGGTGGGGGACAGGGCGAGTCAGAAGTTGATATCCATGCCCTGCCCCATGCTACTGCGGGTCGGGTAATACCCGCCCCATCGCAGGTCGGGTCGGATAATACCCGACGGGACGGGTTCAAATTGCCATCCTTAAGCACAACGTACTCGTTCCATCTGTGCAAAAAAAAAAAAAAAAAAAGTAAAATCCGAGTTCAAACGAAGAAGATATGAGCCGATTAAGAAAACAAGGGGAAAATAAAAATGCATTTAATTCTCCACCTTTAAATCTGAATTTCCTGAATGAAGGGTCCAGATTTAGTTACTGATGGGTGCATAGCGGCTCAAGATAGAGTGCATAACCTTAGGGTGCATAACGATGAGTAAACAAAGTTGGACACTTCTTTTAAGTGGCTGTAGATCTAAGGGTGGAGAATTAAAGGAATTTATTTCTCTAGTTTTTTTGATTGGATCATATCTTCTTCATTCTAACTCGGATTTCAAAATTTTTTTTTCCACAGATGGAACTAGTTCGTTGTGCTCTACAAAATAATATCCATTTTCATTATTTTTTGAGAATTTTTTTTCATACCTCTCGTTTCCAACTCCATACCATATGGTATCTCCTTCGTCTTTTAGTCGTTTTCGTAAATTTTTGCACAGAAGGAACGATTTAATCATATGATCTATTGGATTTAAAAAATTTCTAGGTGAAAAAATTTCATACCTCTCATAACCAACTCCATACCATACATACTATACCACCCTGGTATGGGGTGGTATTTTTCATACCATATGATATGCTATTATTTAATACCAGTCAATACCATATGGTACAGTTAATATCATATGGTATAGACTAGTAAAAATTGACAAATTTTTTTGTTCCAAAAAATATCAAAGTGGATATCATTTTGACGAGCACAATTAATCTGATATAACTGTGCAAACAAAATTTAAATTCCAACTTAAAACGAGTGAAAATCATCCGTTAAAGATTAAGAGAAGGAAAATTAAAGCTTTTTCGAGGAGAGAGAAGGAAGCGCTGATGTGGCAGATTCTTATTGGATTATGCATGGGGTTACACCACAAGGTTACTGACTGGATCTGTTCCCGTGCATTATGCACTATATCTTGAGCCCTCTTAACTGAGTATTTTATTGTTACCTTTTTTATTTTATTTTAAGGAAAAAGTGGCTCAGCGAGAAGAGGATTGTACCATGAGAGAAGCAAGGTTGTCGTCAGTGCGTTGTAACAGAGGTAAGGTGAAAATGAGAACACTCACGGGTGATGTCAAGAGAGGATAAGAGTTATACAAACAAAACTACTCAGGAACCCCCTACAAGCGACACCCTAGAGAAGTCACCCAATAAAGTTGAAAGACTAACTCTAGGAAGGACAATAGCAGTGCTTTAAGCACCACTCATAATACTTAGAAATGGCTAAGTAGCTAACCAAGTCATTCATTTTGAGTATTCTCCTCCATGTTCGTGCAATGCATACAATGCCGTCAAAATTAGGGCTGCTATACAATGTCGGTTCGGTTAAATTGGTTCGAATTGATTCGATCGTGGTCCGTCTTTTCAGGAATATGAGGACCGAAGAAGAGATTGGATACAGTCTGGTCTTGATCCGGTCCGATCTTGATTCAGTCCGGTCCCAAGTCGGTCTTGATTTTAGATAGAGCTTGTGGGGATTTGAGTGGCCTAA